GACCCTCATTGGCAGTTTATTGGCGGCTGATTTTTCATTTTTAATAAATCTTAAAAATAAATAAATAATAATAAAACTGTGAGGTTCCTCCAACCCACCTCCCCCTCCACTTATTTAATAAAATTTGACCCTTAGTTATTTATACGTACGTAAGATTCAGTATGGCGGCGGACTACCTCGCATTTCTAGCACATTTCAAGACAGTTTTTAAAAGTTCGTGTACTTGTATCCCAAATGCAGTAAGAATCATGGTTAATTATACTTTTTTATGGTTTAAACGAAAATCAAATGATTTCTGATGCATACTTCTTTAACTTCTGAGCTCAGTTCATAGTTTGATAAAGTAACTCCTTTGAGATATATTTGATCATATACTACCCTTGCTATTTTTTTTTATTAGTTGCCATGTTCAAAGTGATCAGTTTGTGACGGATTATAACTGCTCAGCAACCCCCACCAACACTCAAACGTTTACTTTGTCCGCCTTCCGCTTCGCTAGTGGAAGTGCTGGTGACCGGGTTTATTTCCACTGTAATGCATTAGCGTGCTTGATAAGCAATAGTGCTTCCACTTGTACTACGCAATGTAATGCCTGCACAAGTAGACGAAAGAGACGGAACTTGGAAGAGCAAGATCCAAATGAAGTGCATTTAGTTCTTGGACCATTTACCATCGTTGAAGAAGGCAAAACCACCGGGCCTACAGCCAATGAAAATGACAGTGAAGAAGGTTTGTAAGCCTTTGGTTCGATCGATGATTAACGAAGGAAGGATGTTTCTTTATTCGGTGATAGAGCTAAAATTTGGCAATCGGTTGGCATAAGAGTATATTTTCCTGTTTGGACTAACCGAAAAACAATCCACGTTGAATGATAAAAGTGATCAAAAATCATGATGAACATGTTTTCTATTCTTTTACATATGTTCAAATTTCTAAAAAAAAGAAAAGAAAAACATTATGATCACTGATAAAATCATTTTCTAGCCATCATGATATGCTTATGTTCTTTAAAACCTCTCGGAATTCCTGTTTCTTTTCTATGGCCAGTTTTCAGTCTTTCTCGCCACCTCCACTGCTGCTGTTACACCTCGGCAGAAACTCTTCTAAGTGATTCACAAACGGTTGGAGAATCGACGTAGACAACTTTAACACGTTTCAAATTGTCTAAAATTCTGCAATCCTTCGGTAAATTTGCTATTTCATGTGATTCTACTCCGTTTGCCTCTTTTTGATTCTGATCTTGACATGGACAGTAGATTTGAAGCTCTTTCCCATGTCACCACGTGCACAGTGGCTAATCAAAGACAGGACATTTGAAGACGAGGCTGAGTTAGATGTTCGATGTCTCTGAACTAAACTAACCAACCACACTTATCATTCATTTTTTCAGATTCAAACACGATCCAAGAAGACAGCGAAAATTTTCCCACGACTTGGGTGGTCATCTTCTGTGCGGGTGCCATGGTTGCCATGGCAATAATAATAGGCCTGGTGGTTATGATGAGGCTCTCTAAAAATTCTCGTGGGCCTGCCGTGAAAAATGTCACCGCTGACCTAGCTCAGGATAATGCAGCCTTCGACGATACAGACGTCAAAACGCTGAGTGTAAAGTCAACGTAAAGTTGAGGAAGTACTATATTGAAATTATTAGTCATGTGGATATAAAAACACGGGAGATCTCCTATTTCGCTAATCCATTTTTT